AAAGCTGGGCTTGGCTCCAGTGGTCTCTTGGTTGGATTCTGAATTTGGGAAATCCCACCTTGTGCCTCCACCTCAGCAGAACCCAAGAGCCCCTCAGTGAGAGCAGAGAAAGGAACTGAGGTTGGATATATTTTAAAAAATTTCATTTTCCTCTCTGTTTATTTTCCTGACTCCAGCATTGAAGTTAAGAACAGGTTATTTTTCTTGACTCGGCAAAAACACTGATGAGATTTTCAGGTAAAGAGGGCTGGGATACGCCCGAAAATGGGGGTGACAGGTCCCTATCAAACAGCCCCAGATCAGTGGGAGCCTGCTCCTGGTGAATCCCAGGCTGCATTTTCACTGCTGGTGCTGTCCCCTGCCCCAGGCTGCACAGAATTCCTCCCTCAGGAGGCTGAAGCCAAATTCTTTGGCCAAACGCAGGTGGGAAGAAGTTAATCCTTGACCACAGGGAATAACAAAACGTCACCACCCCCTTTGGGGTGAGATGACTCAGCTCCCTGTCACCCAGAAAAAAAAGGATAAAGTGGAATTGGACGAGTAAGAGTGAGCATTAAATTTAAAAAAAAAAAAAGAACAATGAAATTTATATCTTTCTATAAAGATTAGAAATCAGACTACTGCAAGAAGGCAGCAGGTCATGGGTGAGGACTGTGACATTCCCAGGGTCCCAGAAATGGAGCAGGAGGAGGAGGATGATCAGTGGAAACTGTGGAAACCCATGCTACAAATTGTACGGAAAAGACAAAGCCCCTGCCAGGGACAGTGATTTATTTTAAAGAGCAGAGAGGATAAAACACGAAAAATAAATAAATGGTGTTGAATCATGGCTTGAAGTGGTTTGAAAGCCCAAGCCAAAGCAGAATATTAAGAGCAGGTCAGTGAGACAAGTGAGTCTGGCTGGACAGAGGACAGGAACGTGGAATGCCAGGAATTAGAGGACAGCAGGAGTCTGGCTGAGCTGTTGGAGACAAACTGAGGTACTGAGGTCACTGATGGGATTTTTTAAGCTCCGAACAAGAAATTATTCAATTGAAAACAGATGAGACTCTGACAGAATAAAAACAAGCCTTGGGCAGACTGGAGGAGCTGTGAGGAACTGTGTGTGAGGATAAAGGGAGATAAAAAGGGCAGGTGAAGGGAGCCCCTATAACTGAGAGGGTGGAAGGGGGCAAAGGATGCCCCAGATGTGGAAGGGGGCACAGGATGTCCCAGAGCCCCTATAAATGAGGGGGTGGAAGGGGGCACAGGATGTCCCAGATGTGGAAGAGGGCACAGGGTGTCCCAAAGCTCCTCATGGAAATGGGAATTGATCCATGCACTGTTTGGGGAGCTGGGCACCTCTGGCTGTGTTTGGGGAGCTGGGCAGCTCTGGCTGTGCCCTGCCCTGCCCCAGGGCCCTGCCCTGCCCCAGGAGGGTCAGGAGGTGCCCTCAGGGGCTCAGCCTTGCTCACCCATGCAGTTCTTCATCATCATGAAGCCGCTCTCGTAGCCCTCGAAGCACTCGCACTCGAAGCTGCCCGGGGTGTTGACGCACGAGCCGTGGCCGCACAGGTCGGGGGAGATGCGGCACTCGTCGATGTCTGGGGGACAGGAGAAGGTTTTAAAATCATAGGAAATTCAGGGAATTAGAAAGAAAGCCAGGCTTGGTAGGGAAATTGTTAAAGGTAGGCCCTGGGAAGTGTTAGGCCTTGTGTTTGTTGGATCATGCGAAGCTGCACATGTGTAATCAATATATGATAAATGATATAATTGTTAGATGTGATTTGATGTAATTATTGCTTAAAGAATCATGAGAAGCTATGTTAGGGGTTGGGGGTCCCTCACCTGTGCAGTTCCTCTCCTCAGCATCCAGAGCGAAGCCGTTGCCGCAGATGCACCTGAAGCTGCCGATGGTGTTCCTGCAGGTGCCGTGGGTGCAGAGCCCGGAGAACACCTTGCACTCGTTCACATCTGGGGGATCAGAGACATCCAGCCAGGGGGGCTCTCCATGAACCCCCTCCCTGCAGCTGAGAACCCCCTCAGCTCAAGCATCAGCCCTGACTACCCTTCCTCGCCTGCCACAGTGTGATTTCAGGGTTTGCCTCAGAACCTGGGTCCCTCCCCTGATAATTCCCTCTCAGGTTTGTCAGTCACCTCTCCTTTCCCCACCCTGACCCCTCCCAGCGCTGTCTGTCAGTCCTGGAATTCCAGAAGGGCAGATTCAAAGGATGCTCTCTGTCCCTGGGGGGCATTGGGCCATCCAGGTGTCCTTTGTCCCTTTGTCCCTCCCCTCCTGTCCCTGGTTGGTGGCTCCTACCCCTTCCCTGCCCCTCTCCCCAGGGTTCAAAGGAACAGCAACCACGGGCTCAGGGAGTTCTGTGGAGCTGGTGCTGCATTCAGAGGCCAGAATAAAGCTCTGGATCCAAACCCTCCATCAGAACCGACTCCTTTCCTTCACCATCACCCTAAAGCTTCTCCACAGAGGGAAACCTGAGGAGCCGAATCTCCATGGAGGAGGGTCCATCCCATCACCACCAGAGCTCTTGCAAACCTGGACTTATCTGCACATGCCCAGCTGCGGCACCCAACCAGCCAAAAGTGTCTGTGGGGTGAAACACCGCAGTGCCACTATTTGGTCCAGCACCAAGGGCCAGACAAGCTCAGGGACATCCCGACTGAGATTCTGGTGGCTCCAGCACTCACCTTTGTAGAAGGGCCGTCCCGAGAGCACATCACCACGGTTGGCGAAGCCAGGCCCACGGGGACACAG